TGTCCGCCGTCTTTTACTTCAGACGCTTTGCGCCGGGGGAGGGGGCCTGTCGCCCACCCTCGTATCTTAAGGCTGCACCGCCGCTAATAGTGTTTTGCGAGTTGTCGCACTGCAGTGCGCCTCGCGGACGGACCCTGGTCCGCCTACTTGTCCGCTCCGCTCTCTCTCTCTCTCTCTCTCTCTCTCTTTGTCCCCCCTCTCTCTCTCTCTCTCATATATATATGTATCCCTCTCTCTCTCTCTCTCTCTCTCTCTCTCCATCTCTCTCTCTCTCTCAGCTCCTCTCCTCTCTCTCCCCCTCCCTCTCCTCCTCTCTCTCTCTCTCTCTCTCTCTCTCTCTCTCTCTCTCTCTCTCTCTCTCTCTCTACACCGTTGCACCGCCATTCTCTGCCGCTGGAGGGGCGTCGCGGACTTTGCCGCGGGGCCGGCGCCCTCGGCACTGCCGCATTGTTTTCTCATGGTTGCCGGAAGTTACTGGCACCACGCCATCGCGTTGACGTCCGCGGGACTGGCGGGCGATTTCCCCACTTGGCGCGGAGCCAGAGGCCCAGGCACGCGCCACCTCTACAGCGTCGATGCACGCGGTGTCTCTGGGGCGCCGCAGTACAGCCGCGGAGCCGCTGGCACCCCCCGGCCGACGCCCACCCTCGTTCCCGCGCCCGGCGGAGTGCTTCTCCCGCACGACTTTCGGCGGCGACAGGCCGGGCGCTCGCCATCGGGCACCAGTGCCTGGCGACGCACGACCAGCAATTCATACCAATTTTGGCTTGGACGGAATCTTCGCGGCGCCCCAGCACTTCGAGGTCCACTCCCTTGTGGGCCCCTCTAGCTTCGCTAAAAAATCATCGAGATCATCGAGACTGAGCTCAAATCGGTCTTCATCTCACGATGCATTTCACGCGGGCGCAGGGCGGACTTAGTCACACCGGCCAACGCGCAGAACCGCCAGGGCGAAGGAGAGGAAGAGCCGCGCAATCGCGCGCACCTGCACCCCGAACGCACTGGCGCCGCCCTCCCAAGCGGCCCCGCCCACGGCGCGCCAACCCCCGCAGGCGATCCGACAAGGCCGCCCCCGCGCCCGCGACGCTGCCCCCCCCCCCCCCCCCTTCCCCGAGCCGCAGCGCGCCCCCGCGACGCCCCCGGCGGCGCCGAGTGGCTTCGCAAGCTCCCCGCGCCGAGGCCCGAGGCCCACCGCAGAATGCATGGCCAAATGCGCCAGCCAAATATCTCCGCCCCAGGCCGAGGCCGAGCCCGACGGCGGGCCGGGCGCCGTCGCCGCCGCCACGGGGCTGGCCCACGACGCCCGCGGCTGGGGCGCGGGCCCCTCGCAACCAAGCGGGCCACGCGCGGCCGCCAGGGCGCCCTCCAGCACCGGCGCGGCCAGCGCCAGCCGCGAGGCAAGCTCCTCGAGGAGGTGCTCGGCCGAGGGGCGCGTCGCCGGCGGCCAGCTGCGCCCCCCCGCGGCGGCGGCGCCGCGGCGCTCCTTGGCCGGCGCGAGCCCGGCCTCCAGGCACGCAGCCCGCCCGACGGTGACCCGGAGTCGCCCGCGCTCAGCCCAGCGCGCCTCACCCCGCCGGGCCCGCCGCGCACGCCGCAAGGAAGCGCGCCCTTCGCCACCCCGCTGGGGATGCTTCGCCGCTGCGAGGTCGACTCGGCAGACAACCGCAGCCACCCTTCCCAGCCGTCTGCACCCCGCGCCCGCGGGGCCAAAACCGAGGGAGACAAGCGATGAGCGGCGCGAGACAAAATGGCCACAGATAGCACGGAATAGAATACCCACGGACACACGGCAGGCCCCCGCGCAGAAATGGCAGTCCGCGCCCGCGGCCAGCCCCGCCCGCGGGACTTCCACGCTCCATCCCAAAGCCCGTCACCAGGGGCGCGGCGGGCGCGCGCGGGCCCCACGGGAAGGGGAGGCAGCCCACACAGACGCGGTCGGCGGCGACGGAGCGGCTCGGTCGCAGCAGGTCCTCAAGAGCCCGCCTCGAGGCGCCGGGCCTCGCAGGCCAAAGCCACTGGCGCGCGGGGCCGACATGGCGGTCCGCCTCGTCTCCCAGTAGCCCCCCACCATGCAGCGCTGACCTCGGCGGCAGGCCTCGCGTCGGGCTCGCCGCTGCCAGTCTGCGCGCGCCCGATACCGCGCTGTTGCCACCGATGGCGACATCCAGCATGACTTGCCACTGCTCGCAGAAAACTTGCTCCACCTTCGTCTCCACGATCGGACTGGGCCCCAGCATCGCCCTCACCAGTTTCGCCGTCTCGCATCGGTCGGCCTGCTCGCCCAGTTTCACTTCGCGCCCTACCAGCCGCCGACTGTCGAGCTCCTGCTTGGCCTTGTTTAATGTCTCGCTGGGTAGCAGGTAGGTCTGCCGCCGCTGGCCATCCTTCTGGCACGCGCTGCCCCTGACGCTGTAGCAATCGAGAATGGACTCCGACGCGAATGCCGACTGCTCGCCGAAGTCGGGTTCTGGCTTCGTCTCCACGTTCTGGTTGGGCGGCCGCTTCGCCTCCACCTGCTTCTCGACGGCCTCGGGCTCCAGCCTCGCCCCAGCTTCGCCCGCAGCTTCTCGCTATTTTCCCTGGGAGGGAAACGGGCCCCGATTTCGCCCCCAACGTCGCGCTGGGCGCAACCATCGCCTTCAGCAGCTCGGCGGGCGGCGCCAGCGTCTGCTGCCACAGCTCGCGACACCCGCCGATGCAGGCAGCGGGCCTCCACTTCGCATGCGACGTCCCATTGGGCCCCAGCGTAGCCTCCACGAGGGGGCGGGGGGGCGGGACCCCGCGTTCGGCCGCGGCGCCGCCATCTCCTCCTCGGCTCACATCCGAAGCTCCACTCCCGCCAAGGACGCCAACGACTTGACAAGATCGGTGGGATGGCTGCGACGCGAATGAAGGCGGGCGCCGCTGTGCACCACGACGCGGGGCCGACTGCTTGTCCAGACCCCTGGTCAAACCTCTCTTTCACCACGTCCGCCACGCCCCGCGCGATCTTGACGTCGCAAACCACGGCACAATCGCTGTCGGGCGGCGCCGCCTGCACTCCTGCGCCTCCTCGGCGCGGCCCTCTTCGGGCCTGCAACCAGGCCTGCCGCGGAGCGCCAGCACGTGGGCAGCGCGCGACGTGCCGCGCGCAGTCGCGACGAAGCCGCCGCCCGCCCGACAGCCGCACGCCCTGGGCCGCGGAGAGCTGGCCGCGCGGCACCCTCGCGCCAGGCGGCCTCGCCCCCGCGGGGCGACCGGGCCGTCCGCAGGCCCGCAGGGCCGCCAGCTCACAGCGCAGCCTCTCGATCTCGTCCTTCGAGTAGGGGATCGACTACAGAATCGATGTACCCCAAAATTGTTTTCCCGTCGAATCTACGATCCGTACCTACAATGCTCCGTAGATCGGCTGGCCTTTTTCCTACGCATTTTCTCATGGGCCCGACGGGAAAATTCATGTCGGGGGAGATCAATTCTGCAGTCGATCCCCTACACGAGTCCTTGAGTTTCCTCGTGAAGTTGTCGGCGGCCAGCCGCGCCACCGCCGCGCCCCGGGGAGGCCCGCGCAGCGACAGTTCCTCGAGCAGCCAGCGGCGGCGCCCCCCGGCAGCCCATGAATGACCGTCGAGTTTGAGCAATGTGGGGCGCGCTCGCTGGTGAGCGGCTTGAGCCGAAGTAGTTGCGGATAGTGGACTGGAGTAGGATAGAATATAGCAGAGCAGAGTATGAGCATGATACAGAGCAGAGTAGAAGTAAAGTCGAGTAGAGCAGGAGTAAAATATAGTCACATGGAATGGAGTAGGGCAGGGTAGAGAAATTACCCTGGCAACGTACCCAACCCCTGCGCAATGCGGGGCATGAGTAGCCTGGGAGACGTTATACGGAGGTGATGACATTACATGGGCGCATATACTTCTGCGAGCGGCATTCGTGAGGCTCGCAGCCCACCAAGGATTGCGATGTCTCGCTGATCTGCCTGCTGCCTCGCTCCGCTGAACCCGCCACCAGCCTTCGAAAGTTGCGACGGTTTCGCAGACCGCGCCCCACAAGGACGGCGAAGCTCCGCTCAGATCTGCGTGGCGCCTTACTCCGCAGGACCCACCAGCAGCCCTCGAAAGTGGCGACGGTTTCGCAGACCGCAGCCCCCCAGGCACGGCGAGGTCTTGCTCAGATCTGCGCGGTGCCTCACTCCGCTGGACCCACCAGCAGCCCTCGAAGGCGGCGACAGCTTCGCAGATCGCAACACCCCAGGCACGGCGAGGTCTTGCTCAGACCTGCGCGGTGCCTCACTCCGCTGGACCCACCAGCCCTTGAAGGCGGCGGCAGCCTCGCAGATCGCAGCCCCCCAGGGACGGCGAGGCCCCGCTCAGATCTGCGCAGTGCATCACTCCGCTGGACCCACCAGCAGCCTTCAGTTCCGCAGATCGTTATG